GTTATGGGGTGGGGCCACAACATTAGTAACAAAGAAACATGAATTTCCGGAGGATGAGGCCCAGAAATCAGGATTTTAAAAAGATTCCCAGGTGATTCTAATGTGCAGCCAAGGCTGAGAACCACTGTCCTAAGTGATTAGTGCTATCACCTTGAGCGGGAAACTACCTGCCTTGGCCACTGCTCCCCCATCCTTCCAGTTCTTTCGCATGCTTTCTTAGCATCTAGATTGCTCACAAAATACTAAGCAGTGTGCCCAGCCTGAGGGCAGAACCATTCCAGCCTGCAGAGCTTGTCTATTATGTTGAGTATTTATGCTATATTTTTTTACAGATATTACATAATATCTCCATATTACAGATGAGAAAGACTGAACGACTAAGAAATGCACCTAAAATCATGTACAATGGGGCCTTGACTTATGAGTGTCCCAACTAACGAGTTTTTTGAGATACCAGCTGTCTCTCGGCCCATTTTTTGCATTGAGTTGACAGAGTAATTTGAGTTAACAAGCTCCTTAACAAGCTCGGTCTCGGAACGAATTAAACTCGTAAGTCAAGGCCCTACTGTAGTGTATAAGTACACTTTGGCTGCCTCATAAACCATCTAACAACTTACGATTTAAAACAGCAGACATTGCCCTAGCCAGTTTGGCTCAGTGGATAGAGCGCAGGCCTGAGGACTGAAGAGTCCCAGGTTCGATTCCGGTCAAGTGCACATGCCTGGTTGTGGTCTCAATCCCCAGTAGGGGGCGTGCAGGAGGCAGCCAATCAATAATTCTCTCTCATCATTGATGTTTCTATCTCTCCCTTCCTGTCTGAAATCCATAAAAATATATTTACAAATAAATACAAATAAAATGTTTATTTTTCACGATTTTGTGAGTTTTCTGGGTTGACTCAGTGGATATGGATGTCCAAGGGGCCTAGTATCTGGGGGCGGGGGTGGAAGGAGGAGTTCAGCTGGGTGATGGGAACATGCCGCAAATCTCTCATTATTCCGAGGGGCTTGTACGAGGTGGCTGAGTTCCTGTGCTGCATGAGGGCAAGCACAGGCACTTTCCACATCTAGTTTGTACCACATTTGCTGTTCCTTTGGCCAAAGCAGGGCATAAGGCCAAGCCCCACAGTATGTGAGGGGGCTGCCCAAGGAGTGAACACAGGGAGGGAGAATTACTGCTGCCATCTTCTCTGACAAACCTACCATATATAACTTATAAATGTACAACTGGAATTCAAAACCAAGTTGTCAGATTACAAAGTTCAAAACTGCCCGGCTGGTGTGGCTCAGTGGTTGAGCATCAACCCATGCACCAAGCAGTCACCGGTTCAATTCCTGATCAGGGCACATGCCTGGGTTTAGGGCTCAATTCCTGGGCAGAGGGTTGGGGGGTACGCAGGGGGGGCGGTGCAGGAGGCAGTCCATCCATGTTAATGTTTCTTTCTGATGGATGTTTTTGTCTCTCTCCTTTCTCTCTAAAAAATCAATACAAAAATATTTTTTTAAAAGTTCAAAGCTGTCTTGGAGTTACTGCCCAGGTCTGATAATCCAGAACACTCAATGTATTGCCAAACTAAGCCAACAGCCTTTTGTACACACACCCACAACTGTTTTGCGTATTGTCATTAACAAACAATGTACACAGTAAGTGAGAAAGGTGTATCTTTGGCTTATAAATGCTCCATTGATTGGTTGTCTACCGAAAGCACCCTGCCTGGGGCCAGGGACAGAGCCTGCAACCGAAGTATGTGCCCTTGACCGGAATTGAACCCAAGACCCTTCAGTCCACGGGCCGGGTCGACACTCTATCCACTGAGCCAAACCAGCTCAGGCTCCTGAGTTATAATAAACTGACAATCTAGTAAGTAAAACTATTCCTGGGGAGACACAAAGACCTTGGTTCTTGAGGGAAAGATTTCAACGAAGAGACAAAGCATAGAAATGCAAGCAAGAATGTATTGAACACAGCAAAAGCATACTTAGGACTGTGAAACAAGGAAGGGCATAGAAGAAGCAACAGGAGAGCCCAGGCTGGGCTGCTCTGGGTGACTGGGAAATCAGAGAAAGGGGGGCCTTGGAGACAGGTCCAGGGAGTTAGCCTGGGATGAGCCGCCACTGCCTGTTGCTCCCCTGGTTTTGAGTCTCATGGGTTCCCTTAGTGCAGCGGTTCTCAACCTGTGGGTCGTGACCCCTTTAGGGGTCGAACGACCCTTTCACAGGGGTCGCCTAAGACCACTGGAAAACACATATATAATTACATATTGTTTTTGCGATTAATCAGTAAGCTTTAATTATGTTCAATTTGTAACAATGAAAATACATCCTGCCTATCAGATATTTACATTACGATTCATAACAGTAGCAAAATTAGTTATGAAGTAGCAACGAAAATAATTGTATGGTTGGGGGTCACCACAACATGAGGAACTGTATTAAAGGGTCGCGGCACTAGGAAGGTTGAGAACCACTGCCTTAGAGGTTAGGGCAATGGTCGGCAAACTGCGGCTCGCGAGCCACATGCAGCTTTTTGGCCCCTTGAGTGTGGCCATGAAGTTTTAATCGCACTGTACATGCGCACCCGCACGTGGTATTTTGTGGAAAAGCCACACTCAAGGGGCCGCAGTTTGCCAACCACTGGGTTAGGGGACAGGTGCCTGTGGGGGAAGGAGAGTGGAAGGGAATGGCACAGGAGTGCTTGCTCCCTGGAGGGAGAGAGCGCCTGGGACTTGTTTTCAGGTGTTTTAAAGGTTGGGTGTTTAGGGACGAATCCATAGCATATTCATCAGCTTCATGCTGATGTACCAAAATGAGATTTATTTTCTTAATTTGTCTGTCCTTGGGTGTGGTTAGCAATGGCACTTAATTGGATTTCTGTTATCTGCCTCCTTGAGTAGAGTGATTTAAGCTATTTACCCTCCGGTTGGGGAGGACAACTACCCTTAAGTGTCCCTGGTTTAGGAAAGATAGGATTTACTAGGTTACTGCAAACTGCTAGTTTCCCTGTTACACTTGTCCTGGAATTTTCCTAGCTTCTTACTGTTAGGTCCGAGAGAGCCCAGGTTCAGATACATGCAGACATGTGATGAGATAATGGACCCTCCCTGAATTTCTAACAGATCAGCATGCCAGACACAGATACTGGCCCCTTCCTGGAATTCCCAGGACCCCCACACAGATACTGACTCCTTCCTGAATACCCTGCTAACCCCCTGAGATGGAAGCTTCCTCAGTTCATGTCCCCGCCCCTCACCCAACCACAGTATAAAAAAGGGCCCCCCTCCCTTTTGGCACGAATCCACGGGCCCTGTCTTTGGGGTTCGTGGGTCGTCGGGGATGCAGAATTACTGCTGCCATCTTTTTCTTTCCTTTCTGATTGACTCAACTCTATTTCCTACGCTGCCTCCTGAGCCACCTAACCTAACACTTACTATTTTATAAAGACCTATTATTAGCCCTATCCAGTTGGCTCAGTGGACAGAGTGTTGGCGTACAGACTGAAGGGTCCCAGGTTCGATTCCAGTCAAGGGCACATGTCCAGGTTGCAGGCTCCATCCCTAGTAGGGGGCATGTTGAAGGCAGCTGATCAATGGTTTCTCTCGTCATTTATGTTTCTATCTCTCTCTCCCTCTCTTCCTCTCTGAAATCAATAATAAATAAATAAATTGATAAAGACCTATTATTAAATCCCAGTAATTAAGACAGAGGGATATTGGGTGTGATGCAAAGATACAACAGAACCCAGAAGCAGGACCATGAACAGGTGGGC